TTGCGTTCCGGGCGTTTATTTATTTTTCGAGGTAAATGAATATTTGAATATAATTTCGGGCACGCGGCTCGTTTCACTGGACATAACGAACACTGGCGGGCCGCCAATGCAAAAAAGTTTTCGCGAGGATGAAAAACTCCCCCAAACGTGGATTATTTATATTAACAATTGCGCGTTTTCCATCGAAACGTTTTAACGGGAATTCCGGGCGATCGGCCGGTACGCAATTCTATGCGTTTTTGTTATTAAATTAGAGATTGATGTTGACAGATTTAATTTTTATATTTTTGGTTAAAAGGTTCCGGTTATGCCACATTGTCCGATTCTACAAAACGTTTGTGGAAACTAAATGGAAATTGCAAGTCAAATCAGTTTCAGTTACCATGCAGATTTATCCGTTTTTACCAATTTTTGACAGCTGGATTCGGTGTTTTTTCGGCGATTTGCGAACAATCTCGAAGTATTGGGATGATTTTCGCTATCGAGATTTAGAATTTATAATTTATGCCATAATGCGTGAGTTCTCTCTGCTATTGGTGCTACTTCTTTTCGCTATTAGGTTAGCCTTTGGGGCACCCCTCTAGTAGTTTATGTACACTCTTGGAGAAGCACTGGACTGTTTTTAACGCCTTCAGTGTCGCCTTACTCGGAGAATATGTTAATTTGCGGCGATAGCTATTAACTCTATAAGATCTAGTTTATAATGCAATAATAATAAAGTTTAAAGGTATGAATTTACTGCCTCCCTAGCGCAACTATTAAACAGGTCCACAAAATTAAACTTTTTGACAGACGTTTTCATTTTGAAAACCGATTTTATATAATTTTGGTAAGCTGATTTCAAAACATAAGGTTTTTTGGAAACATTGAAGGAAGAAAACGCCATTTCTAAAATAATTCATTTTTTTATTCAGTAAAAAAGTGGAATCCTAGTTCAAGAAAGCGAAAAAAATTAATCACACTTTTTTGAGTGAAATCTTCGTCTTTTTGCCAAAAAGCTGCGTTGTCCGGACATTGGGCTGGATGTTTTTAAGGGCATATCCCTTTTTAACATCTAGTAGTAGTCCGCCATCATTTTCTTAATGTCCTGGTAAAACCTCTCTCCCTGTTCTTGGCTAACTCCTCCAAGATTTTCAGGAAAATAGTTCAAGCATGAAAACAGGAAATGCACTTTCAACCTCATGTTACAACCTAGACCGTGAAAGTGTTGTAACATATTTTAAACAATACTTTAAAACAAAAGTTACATCTTTTATCTTGGCATCAGATATGGCTGGAAATTTCTCGCACAAATATTTGAAACACTGTCCAATTTGTTTGTAAAACTTTTTTGGGGTCAACTAAGCTATCTCTTAATACATTTTTGGTACCAGGGTAAGCTTTGTTCTAGAGGACTATTCTAAAATCTATCTTTCACAAATAAAGCACGGACATTTTATATAACACCCCTGTTGTAATAAGTTGTTAAGGTCACCACAAAGGATCCACTGATGTTCTTGGTAGTTTATTTTCTTCGAAAGAAGTCCTACATTTGCATATATTGTATATATTTAAATGTACCGAATGTGAAACGGGAACCGATGCCCGTTTTAAAACTATGCTTACTTGAGCCAATAAACAGGCGCCATTCTTCTTTTATATACGGCACTTTTCCTAATTTTGTATTGCAACAATATTTTCCTGAGTAAAATATTGACAAAACTCTTTTTTGCGATTCCTTTAGAAGCTTCATGTGACGCCAGGTGCTAGTAAATGCTTGTCACGAAATCTTGACCCTAACAATTCGGATGCATCCTTTGGAAGCTGCGAATCTCTAATTAAATCATTTAGTTCGCTCTGGTTAAACACTTCGGGCTCTCTGAAATGTGGTGTGGAATCAGAGTCTTCGGAGTCGGAATTACATTTCACTGATTCAGACTATATGACGTTTCCTAGGTCTTTTAGGGGTAGGTATCGGTACATCTGGTCCATGAGGAACTGGTCGAATAGCAGAGTCAAGATTGGGATACACAATTTGTTTCAAATTTTTTATGTTGAATCCCTGAACATTACTCGAACAAAAATAAAAATCATCACTGTGATTCCTAGGCTCTCGCCATACCATTAGAGACACCAAAGTTTAAACATTTTTTACTATCTTTTTTCCAGTTCCTTAATGCTTCAACGCAAACGGAAGAGACAGTATGAGGAGCACTGGACTTACCTTGGTCTCTAATTTTTACACCAAAATAAGCGTGGTATATATTTTGCACAAAATACGTTGTAGTTTGCCTTTGCTTTACTACAACATAACTACCACAGATATAACAAAAGTTATTTGAATTGTTCAAACAAATTTATACGTTCTAGAACACTAGAAATACGCAATAATGAGGACAACAGTTGCAAACGCAGTAGCACGACGACCAAAAACTGACCAAACTGCGCATAAGCAGGTCACAAAGCTTCTGCGCTAACTCTGTTGCTTTGCAGAGAAATTTAATATTATCCAGCGTTGCCAAATTACATTTAATTTCGTAAAAAATAATTCATTTACCAATCATACCTAACATGGAACAAGCATGTTATAGGTGTTGTGGGAAAACTTTCAAACATCAAAATCACTGTTGACCTGTGTTATTATTCATCTGGCCTTAGACGGGAATATCAGTTAGTGAGAAATTGGAGCTAATGACGCAGTTTGTACATGTTCTCGTGTTCAACTCGTGACGCGAAAACGCTTGCAGAAGGTTCGAACATCGAATAACTAGAAATCCGATAAATATTTGGGAAGTGAATAGGAAAAAGAATCACATATCGAAATAACACCCGCGTTTAAGATCTGGTGCTTTTAGAGGATTCTACGAATATCCCGAACCGACAGAATTACTAATACCGAAATTATAAGAAGAATGGAAAAAATAATCGGTTATTCTATAAACCACAAAATGATGAAAGCTGAAATAGTTCGGTCACATTACGTAAGGTCAGAGATATGCTTAAGTTTATAATGCAATGTAAAATCTGAGGTTTAAAGATTTGTTAAACGAAAAGATATTCTGATTAAGAACCCGATTGACTGATACGGATGCAGCAGTATGGACGCACTTATTTGGAACGGGTTGCGCCAAAGTCAGCATTACCATGAGAGCTTTCAACCATCGTTAAGAGATGGAAGGTAGAGAAGAAGAACGAAGCAGTTTCCAAAGGTTCTTGATGAGGGTGGAGCAAGCACAGATAGGAAAAAAGATGGATATCGTAATTATGGAAAACATGAAGGGAGGAACATTCGGCGAATCACAAGAAGAGAAAAAATGGTTGAGGGAGTTTTGGATGTTTTGAAAATAAGCTTTTTTTTAGCTTATTTTCAGTGGTGAATTTGGTGTATTGTTTAATCTATGTATATGTATAATTTTTTTAAAATTGATCCCAAATATCGCGGCATCAAACCACGTAGCGGATGGAGCCCGGTGGAAAATAGAAAGGCGGAAATATGTCCAAGTTAATAGTGAGTGAAATGGACTAGCAAAATTTTCAACATCTTCGATAAGTTTAAGGTTATCGCAGTGTTCAACTCGCTTCTCGATACAAGTTGGAAACATGTGGCTGCTGTAATGTCATGGGATTCTGACGACTACCAGAAGCGTATTACAAGCCACATATTGACGCAAAGAGTACACACAGAGGAATTACGGCGTTCAATATGAAGAATTCCGAAGGAATACCCAAGAATACCATTGGAATTCCAAAGACATTTCGCTAAGAATTCCAGAAGAATTGCAAGAATTTATAATCAGATGAAAGTGTATTCTTTACGGAGTTTTAACCAAGTGGTTTATGTTAAATCTAAAAATAATTCAGAAAGTTACATATAGGACTGACTAGGGTCGCAAAGAACACTATTTTAGTTTTTATTTATAAACTTGTTTCTTTGTTTTTTTTTAATATTAATTCAGTATTATTTAATTCCTAAAAAAGAACAGCTTATAAAAACAATATAAAGGTTGTCACTGTGACTTTGGCAATCGGTACAAATTATTTGTATTCTGGACATAGGTATTTATTGCATTTGGTAAACACATTCTATATTTTCCATCTTTGGTTCCATTGCAAAGATTGCATCGCGATATAGCAGTTGGGGTAGCTTCATCGCTCCAGTCTAACTTCCCTAATCTCCGAATAGATCAGAAAATATGGCAGTCATTTTATATATTCAATTTTATTAGCTCTTCTCCCAAGTCTAGAATAGATGACTGTTCGAATCTGGACATTTTAGCAGCTATAATTTCAAACATTGATGCCAGATGTGCAAATAACACCACGAGCCGGCGATTCGGTATTTTTTTTAAAGAATACTGTTGGATTCTCCCACTCCATAAATTGGAAAATAACATAGCCAATATCACTCAAAAAAACTAAACTACAAAAGAAGACCCCAGTGTGTAAGTGTAACCGATCAATACGCCCAAATAAGCAAACAAATAGTGCTTTCTTGAGCAAAATAGAAGAATTGTTACGAAAGCACCTAAACCGACGTTTCCTATTTGCAAGGAAATCCACGAAAATATCGACCTTGAACGAGAACGCTCCATCATCGCCATCATTGACTAAACAAAAAGCGAAAAGTAAGTGGCATTTACCCAGCCAAAGGTGGGCTTTATGCCCGACAAAAAACCAACAATCGGGATTGGTAATAAATCATATTTTCGGGGAAAAAATCCCGCTCGAAAGCGCAACAGCCTCGCTCCGTCGCGCTGTTGCCGGCTCGCCCCATAAAACGCGCGCGATTTTCGCGAATTTTTCGTCCCGCACGAAAACGTACGCGAAGGGAGACGCGGTAAATCGGCGCCGTCGGTAGGATCGGGTATCGGCTTATGAATACATATTTATTGTTAATAACTAACAGCGTTTAAAGTACGAGCGTGGAGGGCGATGTGGCATCGCGCAAGACGTCCCGACGTTCGAAATTCGGCGCGGAGCGTCGCTTAAAATCGATGCTAGTTACGATACTGCGTTCAGTTGCCGACGTCCTTTTGATATCGCACGTTGTCGATACACGGCGCGGTTGTGGGTTTCGTACGAGAATATGAAACGACGATCTCCCGAGTTGCGATAGTCTGGGAACTTTCGAACACGTCGAAGTTTGCGAAGTAAGTTTCGTCGGGTTTGACGGCGCGTTTCTGTTCACTGCGTTTTACATTTAAGTGGAAATATGAAAATTTTTTATTTCGTACTTTGTCGAAAGTCTCCTCCTGGACAGAAAATTATTTCAGATGATTTTACATTCATCAGAGAAACTTAAAACAATCGAATAGAACAATTTGAAAAAATCATTTGCAGAATAAAAACGATGTTTCAGAGAGGTTTTGTTATATTGCAGACTTAAACTTTCTAAAAGTATAACGGAAGAACGCAATATAATTGAATTAGTAATGGGACTTGCCCAATTTATACTTAGGAATCGTATATTATTCCTTGGACTATCATAAAATATAAGAAAAAATATACCTACATAATAAAAGCAGAAGACAGATCGTTGAGAAATGAGTTCAACAGGGTTTAAGCATTGGCAGAACCCTAATTAAACTTTTATTTTATTTAGTAAAAGATTGTTTGATGACTTTTTCTAAAAGTTACCTAATGTTCGCTAATATTTACTAATTTTCCAGTATTGCTGTCAAATTGATAATTATCAAGTTCAAGTACTTTACAGGATTATAACCTTGATCTTTTTTCAAATGGTTTTCTGAGCCATTTTGAAAAATGTTTCACACGGTGCAATGTTGAAATATATTTTGTATATTTGCAAAATAACTCCTTGTTTATTTATTTACATATAATTATATACTAATAACTTTTCATCACATTTTTTTGTATATTACGTAGGTACTAGGTTACAACTTTTTCACATAATATATTTTTGTTGACTATTCATATAAACCAGTTTAAATCAATTTAAACAGAAAAAATATTTTAAAATAGTATATTAATAATAATATAAATTCACAAAAGCACATATAAACCAGTTTAAATCAATTTAAACAGAAAAAATATTTTAAAATAGTATATTAATAATAATATAAATTCACAAAAGCACAATTTCCGGATTATGTGCTGAATGTCATAAATTTTACGAGACATTTGAGGGATGTGATGAAAAATGATGTAATTTTAAAAAGCTGTTGAAAATGACACGCTATAATATAATGTAATACTTTGCTCACTTTTGATTGGAGCACAATTGGGGTATCGAAAATATGGAGTAGAAAAAATTGATGAATTTTATTTTAAATTAATTAACGTATTTGGTAAAATAGAGGTACTGTAAGCTTCTACTTCACTTTACACTCTGTCAAATATCGAAAATAAAGAAGTGTTTATGACCAAATATTAAAATCAAAATGATTGATTCTATCCTATTTAACACATGCAATTATTTTTTGTTAATTTGAGGCTTTCTTTCAGTTTCTTAGTTTCAAATTTATACTGGATAACGTAAAAAAATATGCCCACATCATATCAATCAAGATAATTAATTGTAGCTTCTCTAAATAAGATTTAATTGTATTGTTTTTTGTACTCGTCTTATGAGTTGATAGATTCAGTACATATTATAATATGATGGCTTGAAGGAGTAACGACGAAGTTAGGGACTGCATTTAGATGCATTTTAAATTAGTTTCAACTTACTCATTGCACTAAACTATAAATAAACTGCAAATAAATATACTTATATTATAATTAATTTTCCTGGCTGTTTTCAGTGTTGTAATTACTACATTTGCAAAGTGATATTTTATAGACACTTAATTTTTTAATACATGCCTATGGTTTAGAGACTGAATATAAAGTATAAAAAAAGGAAATAACAAAACTAAAAGAAATAATATATACCTAATTAAATATGTTTAGGAACTCGTATTGCGCCGAGTTTTATTTTTACTACAGGTCGGAAAGTACGCTGTTAGCTTTTTAAAAATTACTCAACAAATGTCTAAACGTAATAAGAAAACAAATCGAAATAAAACGCCAAATTCATTATTCAGATGTTTTGGTAGATATTAAAAAAGTTTAACTGTAATTACTGTCCCGGTTATTGATGTAGCTATTATTTCAGATTCAAAACTCTATCTTGAATATTTTTAGTGACAGTGGAAGAAATACCTATCTTTTTATATAATAATTGCAGTCAAAGTATCGCGCTACGTTTTGTAGCGTTTTAAGAAATCGAAGCGAATTTTGAGGTTATGTCCGAATTTTCCATCGGCATCGTTCTGCCCCCAAAATCCTATGAAAACTACTTCGCGTCTAACCAACACTCGCTGCCGTCGTCGGTCTACCCTGTTTACAAAGTAAATATTTATCTTGGGCTTCATTAAATTGAACCGCAGCTAAACTCCGCTCGCTTGCTTAGGGTCGAAAACTTAAACTTGATGACCCGATCGCGAGGCAGTTAAACTGAATAAACGAAAAGTTGTATAGGTCCACAATGCGCGGAAAATCTCGTACGCCACGATATTTTGATAATGAAGCTGGGCCCGTGTTACGGATCTGCAATTTTGTTAAGCGGACGGGAAATTGGGTATAATCGTTGCCCTTTGAAATGGAACACCGAATTGATAATAATTTGATTTGGTGCCGATGATAAACGGTTTTCAATGTTGGTGGCGGATATGAGAGCGCCATAGTTTCAAACTTACATGATAGGGATTTTTTATTAATTTTTTTAAATTTATTTCGAGCCCTTTCAGATCATTTTAATTTTTTTTGTTTATTACTGACTAACTTTATGCACAGGGAAACCGGATATTAATTATCTCAAAACCCGAGAACAATATAAAAAAAATTATATTGTTATATATACAGTATTTTCGTATATGTATGTATCACAAGTCAATATAACATGCTTTAGTTATAATTAGTATTTTTCTATTATTTAGTTTACTTTTACTTTTACTTTAGTAAATAGTAGATGCTTTCGTCAAAAAAACACTTCATATGATTTTTGCGTTTAAATTTTTAATGTTAATTTTTAATAATCCCGTATTTATTTATACACAATGCTAGTGTAAAATAAACTCATGAGTCAAATGCCGTTTACGGCACTTGTTGCATCATATACTATTACAACCTCTAGACTGTACACTGAGCATTTTTCTTAAACGAATTCGAACCTCTGCTCACCGAATTAGATTTTTTTTCTTCTTTTTTTACTTTTTTAGATTCTAGCTCCCTGCAACGTAGAAAGAATTTGGTTCAAAATAAAAACTCAACTTAACAACTCAACAAAATAATGTGGATTTTTTTATTGGTTTAGTTGTCTTCGACGATAACACGGAGCCCTTAAACATTCACATTAATTTTACAATTTTTTTAATTTGATTACTTACAAGGGTGAATTATTCTTCATTTTTGCAAAAAATTTTATTACGATAAAAGGCTCCTGGAATGCAGCGAAAATATATAGTTTCAATGATAAATGGTATTTATTCGACAAACAAATAAATAAATACAAAAAAAAATACTACAAAAATAATACAAACAAAGGAAAAATTGAAGATTTTAGGAGAAGTTTATCCTTTTTGAGTGCTAAATAACATAAATGGTCTTTATATGTAAAAAAATATATATAAATAAATAATTACAAAATAAAATAGAGAAAAAAAAATTATACGCAAAGAAAAACAACACAAACGAAAAATTTAAAAATTTAGTCGAAGTTTAGCCTTTTCATCATCATTATTATTATTAATATGTCAATTGTACTATGTGCTATTTCCACGATGTTTGGCATTTGTATATATTTTTTTCTTATTTATAAAACTCAATTTAAAATTACTCGCAATATTTCATCAGTTTTTTCTTGTTACTTATTACCTATTGGATTAGGGTGATACATTTTTTTATCTATATATTCTGTAGCTATTGATAACAACTGGCACCAGCAACTAACAACATTTCCTTAAATTTCCAAGTACGAAGTGAACTTGTAGCAGAACTATGAAAAAACAAGTGAACTTAATAAAAATGGAAAATTACAAAGATATAATAGTTAAAAAATTTTTGGATCAAATTGCAGGCATAATAAATAATAGAAAAGGGTCAGTATCCAGACTATTATGCCTTCTTGACTGAGTAGCTTTAAAGTGATACGTACAGTATTTGTGCTTTTTGTGCATTTGTATATATATGTTTTAAAAATTTAATAGACAGTACAGACTGAACAGTAATCTGTATATGCGCTTTCACATGGATCTAAAAATATTTTTACAAATTCAACTTCCTACAATCTAATAATTTGCAATACGTGACGAACATATCTGTTCTCTATATTATACACTATATTTATATTTAAATATTTAACCTATCATTCTTTAATAATTAAATATTTAGTATTTATAATTTAATATTTAATTTAATTTAATTCATTCATTAATTAAATAAATTAAATTTAGTTTAATTTTATTTAATATTTAATATTTAAGAAGTATTAGCTACAAGATATTTCTATTACTTTGGAATTATAATCTAAAGGTCTTATGCCTGCGGTAAATTTTTTTATTGCCTTATTTTTACCTCCGGTTACATACTAATTAAATATCGATCGCCCTCAAAACGTACACAGAAGAAAATATTCGCAATTAACCTCCCCTCAACCCCCCTCCCAATCGACTTTCCCTTTTAAGCCCGAAATAATCCTATTTCGTTCCCCTACTTATCCGGATCGACCCCCGCCGGGCCGCGCCGTAATAAACAGCCATTTTCGTAATGAAAAAGCGTCGCATTTTACATGTAATAACCCCAAACAAGGTGCAAATAAAAGAGTGCACGTCAAGAATTAATTTAATAGAGTCGGACGGGCCCGGGGTGTACGTTTCACCCTCGTTTTTTTTGTGCCGCGTCTCGGAACAACCCCCGGAGCCGGCGGTCCCCCACGCTGTGCGAAAACTAACGTATTTATCACCTGAATATCATTACCGAGGAGGGGGTGCCATAAACGAAGGCATTATGTAATTGCGTACGGGTGGAGGGGGAGGGCTCGACAATACGCTACCGTATTTTTTCTTTCGCCCGAAAGTAATTCAAAGCTATCACGACAAGGGGTAGTTTGTTCCTGGTGGGGTAGTTTTTGGGCGATGTTTAGTGGCCG